GGAAAGTTGTGGAATAATTGCATTTTAAGTAATTTCTGAGCTTAAAAATGGTTTTTTTTTTGACGAGAAGGGTACCAGATCTAAGTTTTTTGCATGTTTCGACTGATCCATTACAGGTGTAGTCTATCACTTTTTTAATAATAAAAGGTGATATTTTTTCAAATTTCCCATTATCAGTCCTGGTAATAATTATGTACTTTGGTTCACTTTTTATCGTGTTAATCGTTGTCAGTGGTCGGTCGGGCGGTCGGTCGGGTGGGCGAAACATTGTAGTTGTTTTGGGCTCGGGCTCTTGGTGCGTAAGTAAAGCAAGTTCACTTGTTTCTAGTTTTTGTTTTTTTTTTGCGGTTAATCGCGAAGAAGTTTTTGAATCGGATGATCGGTTGGTAGATTAAACAGATAGGCTGTAGCTTGGAGCGTAGGTTAGTTGCACGTCTTAACTCTTTGAAGCTCGGAGTGAAACTGTTTATATATTATATTTTATTGTAATTAATTGGTCTTACGATGATATTCTCAAAAGGACCGGCAACCTTTATCCGACGTTTGCGATATATATCCGCTTCTACCTGCAAGGGTATATCAACTTCGGCTCCGCCCGAAGTTAGCTTTCCTTTCTTGTTAATAATAATTTGTAAAAAATCTCCTTGGACCAAAATAAATAATTTTTGGATTAAAAAAAAATTGTCCACTTTTTTTGTTTTTGTTTTAAGAATCAAGTGGGTCAACTTTAAATGGCCCACCCTGTATATTCTTGATTAGGATTACCTCCTGAGTTGATATGAGCATGTCCGTCTGTCCGTCTGTCTGACTGTTTCTACGCAAACTAGTCTCTCAGTTTTAAAGCTATCGACTTAAAACTTTGCACACACCCTTCTTTCCTTTGCACGCAGTATATAAGTCGGAGCGACCGGGATCGGCCGACTATACCCTATAGCTGCCATATAACTGAACGATCGGAAGTGAGCCAACTTTCGTGTTTTTTAAGATAGAAAGCTGAAACTTGGTACACATTCTATTTTTGGTCAGTTAATCCGATTTACCAAATTTCATAACGATCGGTCGTTTATATCTTATAGCAGACACATAACTGAATGATCGGAAATGGTTTTTGGTAGAAATACCAACTTTGGTATTTTTGAAGATAGGGACTTTTTTTTTTATATATTTTATTGTAATTAATTGGTCTTACGATGATATTCTCAAAAGGACCAGCAACCTTTATCCGATGTTTGCGATATATATCCGCTTTTACCTGCAAGGGTATATCAACTTCGGGTTCGCCCGAAGTTAGCTTTCCTTTCTTAATAATAATTTGTAAAAAATCTCCTTGGACCAAAATAAATAATTTTTGGATTAAAAAAAAATTGTCCACTTTTTTTGTTTTTGTTTTAAGAATCAAGTGGGTCAACTTTAAATGGCCCACCCTGTATATTCTTGATTAGGATCACCTCCTGAGCATGTCCGTCTGTCTGTCTGTTTCTACGCAAACTAGTCTCTCAGTTTTAAAGCTATCGACTTATAACTTTGCACACACCCTTCTTTCTTTTGCACGCAGTATATAAGTCGGAACGACCAGGATCGGCCGACTATATCCTATAGCTGCCATATAACTGATTGATCGGAAATGGTATAACTTCGGTGTTTTTAGAGTTCAAATTTTACATGAGCGGTATTTTTGGCTAAATAATACGACATGCCAAATTTCATAAGGATCGGTCTACTATATCCTATAGCGGCCATATAACCAAACGATCGGAAATGGTATTTGGTAGAAATATCAACTTTCGTATTTTTGAAGATAGAAACTTGGGACTTTTTTTAAGATTTTTTATTTTAATTAATTGGTTTTATTATGATTTAATCATAAGGATCGGCCAACTATATCCGATGTTTGCAATATACATCCGGTTTTAACTGCAAGGGTATATCAACTTCGGCTCCGCCCGAAGATAGCTTTCCTTTCTTGTTAAAACTACGTTCCTGTCTGAGAAACATGCCCAGTGCACATCCCACACAGTGAATTGGCAAGTTTTTGGAGGCCGCAGGGGAGGCAGTTGAGTGTAACAGAATTTTGCACTGAACCCCAAGCGCGGAGTTCCTGCACAGGCAGGATGAGGATTTGGGGGCATCACACCGATGGCAGCAACATGGGGCGCATTGTGAAGAGCAAAAAAGGCGCATTTTACAAGATTTTTCTACATATAAATGCGAAAAGTATTAAAAAAGTAAACTTTTCATTTGCCTCCTTAGCGGGAGTGTTTTCCGTGTTTTGTGGGGCGTGGGCTGGGGGTTACGGGGGTCGAACAAGAAATAAGTTCTACGCCTTTCGTCTGCGCGTCATGATGCGTGTTAAGGGTATACACCCTGAAAAATATAACAAGAAAGGAAAGCTAACTTTGGGCGGACCCGAAGTTGATATACCCTTGCAGTTAAAACCGGATATTTATGGCAAACATCGGATATAGTTGGTCGATCCTTATGAGAATATCATAATAAAACCAAATTATTACAATAAAAAATCTACAAAAAGTCCGAAGATCCTATCTTCAAAAATACCAAAGTTCGTATAGTTACCAAAAACCATTTCCGATCGTTCAGATATATGGCAGCTATAAGATATAGATGTCCAATCGTTATAAAATTTGGTAGGTCAGATAATCCGATCAAAAATATAATCTGTACTAAGTTCCATATTTCTATCTTCAAAAACACAAAACTTGGGTCGTTTCCGATCAATCAGTTATATGGCAGCTATACGAAATAATCCGCAAATCCCGGTCGTTCCGACTTATATATATACTGCGTGAAAAGGAAAGAAGGGTGTGTGCAAAGTTTTAAGTCGATAGTTTTAAAACTGAGAGACTAGTTTGCGTAGAAACAGACTTTGCGAAGTTTGCGTTTTTATTTAAATTATGAATTATAATTTAAGTATTTAGAAATAGAAAAATAATTATAAGCTTTCATTTCAACACCCTAGGATATGTTATATTTCTCAATTAAATAATTTATAATTTACCACATACTTTCAGGCGGCTTTACTTTTGTAAAGCTTAACATAGCTCTCGTATGCTTTCTCCATTTGCTGCCAAACCTAGCTATAATTTTTAATATTTTAAAGCATTATTAACCATAACTTTTGGGAAAATAATTTTTCCAAATATATTTTATACACAGCGCTCGATGAAGCCAGACCAGTTTTATTTTTTGTGCCCTACTCTACACTTTTTACAGTCTCACCCCTTTTTTTGGGCCTCCTTTACAGTCTGTTTTGTTATTGTTGCCAGGATGCCAGGATTGAACGGCCGCGAAGGCGGGGTAGGAAGAAGGCAGGAAGAGTTTAGGCGTGGACCCGAAGATGCGGAGCTGTTGTTCAAAATGTTTCCCAGTGACCGGGAGTGGTCGGGTTTTTTCTACCGCAGACTTTTTATATATTTCTTATCAACTTTATCCCCTCAGCCCCCCCAGGATACTTTTTAAATTGTATTTTATTACTATAACAAGACATAAGTAGGCATAATGGGGCCCTATGAAATATTCAAAAGGAAATTGGCATAGAAGTTTTGGAGTCGGGTTGGGAGTCCTGCAAGTACAGTACTTCTGCTTCTTTTAAGGGCCCGGAGTAGAGTCCCTAGAGTTCAAGCAGTTGTAAGCGCGTGTTAAGCGATTAACGGTGTTTTCTAATGAGTGCGCCCTGAGGTTAATGTCCTGGCTAGGATCCTGTAAGGATCTGGATGGAGCTCCACCAGACTTGACAACTTTGGCAACGCCACTCCCAGCTGAAAATGATTTAGGCCTATCAAGTCCACGAAGCCGTGAATAATTGGTTTCCATATTTTCTTTAAATATACATTTTTTCTTTTGAAAATCGGCACAGGAAATTCTTTCATGAGTATGCTTTTGCACTCAGTGTGCATTTCTGATTTTACATTTTATCTTGAAACGTTTCAAATTATTTTGGGAATAAGTTCAAAATTTATTTCGGTTATGTATTATTATGTATTATTTCATGTTTCTTAAATATTATTGTAATAAATACAAAAAAAACAGTGCCAGAGCTAGAAATCTTACCTTCTTCTGCTCCATAACTTCTGAGTTCTCCTAAAAAATTTGTTGATCCTAAAAATAACAATAATTGTTTTATTACTCTATAAAATGAAAAATATTTTTCATCATAAGGTAGTATAACACTTGGTAATCTTTTAACCAAAATTTGAAGCATTTTAATAAATTTAGAAATAGTTTGAAAATATTTGCCACTTTCATGAAGTTTCTGAGGCAATGGGGCTTTGTTTTCTCTACAACAAGAATTAAGGCCCATTACTACTTTTTGATCAATTATTTTTTCGAAAACAAATATAACATATGCGTAACAGATGCGTTCTAAATTAAAATTTGATTATTTTATGATTAAAAATTGCACTGTCTATTTCCTTGTTTTTTGTACGTAATCCTATTTAATAGTAAAATATGATAAATCAAAAACTTTTCGTTTTCTTGACACTGTATATTTCAATAAGACCTCTTTTTCTTTTCAAATTTGCGAATTCGAGTTTAGGCCAAATTTCGCAATTCAGCTCGTTTTTTTTATTTTTATAATCTTAACTCCCGCTGTCATTATTTTTCAAAACGATTTGTCTGGCAATGTCTCGATGCAAATTATCCAGGACAACCCGCTACCAGACCCACACCCGCACCAACACCGGGTTCCAGACCAAACTCCCATCCTCTGTCATAAACCACCAATCGCCGCCTTAAATCCACCCTGATATTCCAGCTTGGTGACTTTTTTTGCGCCTGGATCATCGTGATTTTTTACAACTTTTATGCGCTTCAGTTGGTTTATCTGCCGAAATTTGCGCCTCCAGCTATAAAGGATTAGGCGAAGGAGTAGCATATGTGCCGGGGTAATCCAGTGGGTGGTAGGTGGATTTGGGTGCTGGTGAGTGGTGTATGTAAGACCATTATTTAAATGCTTAGCCCCCATCAAATGACTTGGAAAATACGCTTTCTCGTGTAGGGGTTTTATTGGTTTCTTCGTTTTTTTAGGACCCGCAGCCGCGAGTAGATAATGTCCCAGTCCAGATAGGCTCCCACAATGTACCTCGAGTTTTGCTCAGTGTCGTCGTAGCCGGTCCGACCGTGGAGCAGGCGGATGTTGTTGAAGGTCAGCACTTCGCCCGGCCGGGTTTTAAAAGCGTAGGCCTCCGACCGGGACAGTTGCACGAACTTGGCGTACGACTCGTACCAGGGTTGCACCTCCTCAAACGGCACGTTGAAGTGACTGTCCCGCTGGGGCACGCTGTGGTTCACTCGCGTGTACTGCCCCTGGGCGTCCAGACTACGAGGATACAAGGCATATGATTTATTTTTTTTTGATGTGCTTTGATGAATTAAGAATAGAGGATTAGTCTGAATACTCTTCTATTACTATTATAAACTAACTTTTTTAAAAAGCTTAATTCATTCTTTAAATGGCTAGCAGTGCTTCGAGTATTGGGTGGACATATTTGCTCTTCGGGGATTAAAATTATTAACTCTTTGGTCAAGCAACCACAAATTTTGGTAATCGGTATTTCATATTTTTATATAATTGGAACAAAATAGTACATTATTATTATAAACTGTAAAGTTAAAATCAAAAAGTGAATACTCCGCCTTGGAAGTTAAGTTTTATAGTGCTTCATTAAATTTTTTTATCTTTTATCCTATCAAATCATGTGATAGGATACATGTCAATATTTGAATACGTTTTTCTCGAAATATAGATTTTGAAATCGGCACTCAGTGTCATTTTACTGAATAATAAATAAAAAAAAATACTTTAAATATTTATTATCCCTATTTAAAAATATTGATAGCAACCCATATTATGATAAATTTTGACAATTTAAATTAATATTTACAAGCCTCGAAAAAAAACTTAAAACCAAAACTATCAACTCAAGATAATAGAATGGATAACACTGTCGCACTAGTGATTTGGAACTTTTGAAGTGACCTAGTATAACCTAGTAGAATATAGTATAAATCCGTGTTTGAAATGTTTGTAACACCCTCGAAATCTTGATTTATTTAGAAAAAACGATTTTTGGGACTATTTTGCTTTTTAAAAGTCCCAAACGCGTAATTTTAAGGCGAAAAGTTTAAATGTTCCTGCAATTTTTGTTTCGCATTGTGTAATTGAACTATAACAAGAGAGGAAAGCTAGCTTCGGGCGGAGCCAAAGTAATATAATAATATAACCAAATTATTATAGTACAAAATCTTCAAAAAAAAGCCTCAAACTTCTATCTCCAAAAATAAAAAAATTGGTAGTTTCACCAAATACCATTTCCGATCGTTAAGTTATAGGGCAGCTATAAGATTTAGTTGGCCGATCGTTATAAAATTTGGTAGGTTGGATCAACTGACCAAAAATATAATCTGTACGAAGTTCCAACTTTCTATTTTTAAAAACACGACATGTTATTCATTTCCGATCCTTCAGTTATATGGCAGCTATCGACCGACTATATCGATCCTTATGAAATTTGGTGGGTGGGTGAAATTTTGTATTATTTTGTAGCATTCATACCAAATCCGAACTCTTTTACTCTAAAACAAGAAAGGAAAGCTAACTTCGGGCGGAGCCGAAGTTTATATACCCTTGCAGTTAAAACCGGATATATATCGCAAACATCGGATATAGTTGGCCGATCCTTATGATTACATCATAATAAAACCAATTAACTAAAAAAAAAAATCTAAAAAAAAGTCCCAACCTTCTATCTTCAAAAATACGAAAATTGATATTTCTACCAAATACCATTTCCGATCTTTCAGTTATATGGCAGCTATAGGATATAGTCGGCCGATCCTATTGAAATTTCGTAGGTCGGATTAACTAACCAAAAATATAATCTGTACCAAATTCCAGCTTTCTATCTTCAAAAACACGAAAGTTGGGTCATTTCCGATCGTTCAGTTATATGGCAGCTATAGGATATAGTCGGCCGATCCGGGCCGTTCCGACTTATATACTGCGTGCAAAGGAAAGAAGGGTGTGTGCAAAGTTTCAAGTCGATAGCCTTAAAACTGAGAGACTATTTTGCGTAGAAACTGACAGACGGAAAGACAGACAGACAGCACTTTTTTGACCAAAATTGACTCTGAAAGGGTACAAAAAAAGCTTGCGTGAAAATGAAAATATTTCCAATCAATTCTCTACTTTGTAATCTTTGTAAGGAACACTTACCAAATGACCGGCGCCCGCCAGATGTTGTGAAACTCGCGCCCGTCCTCGCTGCCAATGTCGTTCCAGTCGACCACTATCCGGCAGAGTCGCTCGTAATCCTCGGTATGCTCCCGGCGGAGTCGATCGGCTACGTAAAACGCGTCAACCAAGAGGTTGCTGCCTCCCGGGGACTCCGTCTGGACGAGGCAGTGCAGTATGTTGACACTTGGCTTGTACTCGTAGTAGGGCAGGTCGGTGTGCAGAGGCAGGGGTAGTGAGAGGTAGGCGAAGTTCTGTGCGCCCGGCTTGGCCTGAACCACGAACTCCTCGCCGTAAGTGGTGCGCCGGATGAAGCCGACCCGCTCGGCTAGTCGTCGCACCACCCCCTCGTCCTGGGGGGCGCCCCGTATTAGGGCCACTCCGTAGACGGCCAGAGCCTGAAGCCACTGCTCCAACACCTGGTCGTCATCCATCACCTGGCCGTAGTCGAAGTGCTGGGAAATTGTTTTGAACTGCGACCCCGCCCAGAGCCGGGTTGGCGGGCGGTAGAGGTCGGCAAGATACTCCTCCTGGTGCTCCTCCCGAAAGCTCCTCTCCTTAAGCCACTTTATAGGGAAGCGGCTCTCGTGGCGATCGCTCCAGTTCACGATTGCCTCCTGGGCCTTCTCATCCGTCCGAACTTTGAGAGGGTGAACTCGGGTGTCGAACTTGTCCCAATCTAACTTCCTTGACTGGGAGCTGACGTGGAAGCAATCCTCACAAAGACAGTTGTCCCTCAGCCAGACGCCTGGAAAGATCAGCGGCTGGGAGTCCGTCTGCTCCTGGACTTCTATGTTTGTTTTTCCCACGATCCGGGTACTAATGGGGCGGAAAAAGCGTGGGGCATAGCCAACCAGGGAACGGCCCAATCTCTGCACCCACATCTTGCGATCTTTCCGTTCTATTCCTCTCGAGCGACAGAAGCGCAATGAGGCGCCGGACCAACACGCTGAATTGAATCGAAATCTGGAACAGGTCTTTGGACTTTGTCTGCCAGCTCACTTCATTCGGAAATTTATGGCAAGGTCAGGGGCGGGAGCCAGAGGGGAGTTTAGGGTTACAAGATCTTGAGTATTTCCTTATCTTTAAAATAAAATCTCCTATACTTAGCAACTTAACAATAATCACCCAAATATAGACACGAAACGCTCAAGCTCCCTTGGCGCAACCTACACCTACGCCCCTGCTGGAAAGCATCGTCTTATCAGCTAGCCGGTCCCGTTAGACTGTCGGAGCTCTATTTTACAAAATTTGATTTCTAGTTGAAAAAAGAATTCAGAAAAAAAAAAACAGAATCAGAATACTTTGCATACCAAATAAACGGCTTTTGTTGGCTTTTGCCATTTGTTAGTTAACAAACTCGCCTTAAAGTGAGATAGCCAAGCGTGACGAACGAAACTTCATGAACAAGAAGTCAAATAATGGAACTTTTATAATGTTTTTAGTAAAATAAATTAATAAATAAAAGAACGTTAGTCAATGGGAAAGATGAATGAATAGAACCCTTTTTAATTGGTAAAATTATATTAATCGTCTTATTATAGTTATATAAAATTATTATTTATAGTGTAAATCAAACATATTTTAGTATAAACAAGAAAGGAAAGCTAATTTCGAACGGAGCCGAAGATGATATACCCTTGCAGGTAAATACGGATGTATATCGAAAAAATCGGATATAGTCGACCGATCATTATGAGAATTCCATAATATACCCAATTTATTACAATACAAAATCTAAAAAAAGTCCCAAACTTAAAACTTGAAAAAAACAAAAGGTTGTATTTTTACCAAATACCATTTCCGATCGTTCAGTTATTTGGCAGCTATAGGATATAATCGTCCAAATCTTATGAAATTTGGTGGGTTGCATTATTTTGTTTGTGCCAAAAATGACACTCATGCAAAATCCGAACTCTCTAACTCTAAAAACACCAAAGTTAAACCATTTCCGATCAATCAGTTATATGGCAGCTATAGGATCCGACTTATATATATACTGCGTGCAAAGGAAAGAAGGGTGTGTGCAAAGTTTCAAGTCGATAGCTTTAAAGCTTAGATACAAGTTCGCGTAAAAACAGACAGACAGACAGACGGACATGCTCATATCAACTCAGGAGGTGATTCTGATCCAGATTATACATATATATTCTATAGGGTCGGAGATGTCTCCTTCACTGCGTTGCACACTTTTGACCAAAATTATAATACCCTCTGTAAGGGAATAAAAATCAATTAAAACTTATTTTGATGGTCAGGGTCCCAGGTTTAATAAATTATACAGTTCAATTTTATCATCACTATGGCACGAACCATATTGAAATCATGAACTCTCATGAGAACGCGACGGGAATACCAGAGTTGATCACTCAACTTGAAAAAATTGTGGCTTCTATTTGTCAATATTCTAGAGACGATACTCAATTTCAATTGCCTATTTAATTGCCGTTTTCAATCAACCGCTCGTGTTCTCCAACCCGGAATCAGCATTTCCAGGGTCCACCATCACCAATTTGTTTGACGTCACAGGCTGATAACACAGTGGCGGGGGCCATCTTCCTTCCTTCACTCCTCTCGCGGTCAATCACTTAGTCAATTTAGCCACCCCCCTTATCCCTAGTCCTGTCCTTCCATATCTTTTCTCTTTTAGCCATATTCCTGGCCTAAGCGCCTTTAAAGGGCATGCCAAATTCTCGTGAAAGCAATAAAATTGCAGCGCCTTTTGCACCCGGAGCCGACTTGTTGCACAATTGAATGCGAGCAACGTTGTATGGCGGTTGCAACTTCCACGCACAGAGGCAAAGGTGGGAGGTACACTGGAAAAAGGCGCCTTTACTATATATTTTATATAAAAAACATCAATATAAAGGAAAAAACCGACACCCAAATATGTTTTTACTTATTATTTTACCTTTTAAATATAATTATTGTCACTTATATTGTTTATATATTTTCTAAGTAGAAAATGAAATCTATTATTTTTGAATTTTATATTTAAAACTTAATTGAAACTATTAAATAGTCAGAATGTTTTTTTTTAAATAATAAAGATTATGAAAATATACATACTTTAAAATGGAAGCGCTGAAGATAAAACTATGAAAACTATATTATGATTTAAAAATTATCTGTGTAAAAAAAAATTTTTGTTCAATAAAATTATAAAATTACACAGGCCGACAATTTCCAATTTTTGTTTTCTTCACGCATAATTTTAATTGCTCCATAAACTTTTATTGTTTAACTAACTACTGTTGACTAACTATTGTTAATTAACTAACAAAGGACTTAATGGTTTATAAATTCAATCTGAAAGACTTTTAATTTGTCATTAATTACCTAATTTTTTGAAAAATTGAAAAGTGTAAGCCCAGTAGCTAGAGGCCAGTCCAATGGCAATTTCAATTCCAAATCTGATCCGAATCCCAATGCCGAGCCCGGCCTGGCGACTGACCAAAATTACCGCTTCCTCTGACCATTTAGAGCGCGGACAATAAATTCTTCATGCAAGGGGAGTGGGAGCAGGCCGAGGAGGGAAACAGGAGGATGGGTATGGAGGAGAGGCGGCAGCTTTCGGAAATTTGTAGAAATTCCCAAGCCGGCGGCCATAAAAATGCGGCTCACATGTGACAACGATTTGTACTTCAGCTCCTTTTATGGCGCTTGGCTGTTGTTGCTGCCACAGTGGCTGTGGCAAGCAGCCTTCTGCTGCTGCGGCTGTTGCATTTTTAAAAAGCTGTCTCCGTTGTTCTCCCACTCCTCCCCGCAATCCCCCTCCCCACAAATCCCTTTACAAATCTCAAAATCGCATCAGATTATACGAGTTATGCGATGGAGCGAAGATGGCAGCTCCCGTTTTGGGCATCCACCGCTTGGCCGCCAGTTTTGTAGGTCAACGCCTCCTCTCGGACCTGGTGTATCCATCTGGCTAAAGCCCCAGACCCCTTAGACCTTTCAGCACCCCATGCAATTGTGTCAATTAACACCCACGACCCTTGAGCCACCGGATGCTTCAGTTTTATGAGTCGATGAACGGCGATATGCTGAGTGACTCGATAATTATCATGTCACATGCCACAGGACACAGGGCACAATGGTCCTTCTTCTTCTTCATCTTCTTGTACGGAATGTTACAGTTTTCGTTTCACGTAATTAAGTGCTGCTGATCCACTGGTTTTTTTTGTTCATGTTTAAGGATGAAAAGACCGGGCCGAACCCCGGCGAAGTAAAAGCTTGTTGGCTTTCCACGTTCCACGAAAGCGAAACAATGGGCCAGAGTGGACCAAGCAGGATGCCATGATGTGGGTGGGACGAAGAACCAAGAATGAGCCTTCAAAGGATGGGGTCTCTGTTTGCAAACTGTCTGGGCGAGACAACCTCGTACGTGCCAATGATGTTCGCCGGTCCGAGATGATCCGTCGCCAGAGCTGCCTAAATTCTCATACAGGACGGGGATAAAGGTCGCGATTCGCGGTTACTTTGGCTTAGTAATAATAAGTAGTAATAATTGTTTTTACTTATATCGGTAAGATTCTCTAGTTCTTAATGTTGATCTTATGCTTTCAAGTCCCAAGTCTATTATGACTAAGATAAGTCTATAAACTTTAAAAAAAAGTATAAAGGGAATATTCTAGTATAAAGGGAATAAGGTAGGCTTTCATAGACTTATAATTTTATTTCAATTTGTTTTGAAGTTGACATAATTCTTTTTTTTTTTTTGGACAGCCATTCTCTTGTTTAAGTTCTTAATTCTAAGGTATATACGTATCTTAAAATAAATTTTTTGTTTATATTTACACCAATTTCGACCTGCTTAGCGGCGTTTAACAATGTCTGTTTTAAATTTTTAGTTTAAAAAAAAAAAAAAAAAAACAAACGTTACGCCTAGCACGTGTTTGCGACAAGAACTGAAAATAAGTCTTTTTTTGCTTGGCCACTTAAATGTTAAAGTTTTGAAAAAAAAAAATCACCTTTCAGTTTGACAGTTTGAAATTAAGGGACCAAAACCCGAACAATTTGTCAGCCGAATGGACTACATTGTATAATTGTACTATCATGCCCTGGTCTATAATAGGAACAGTTTTTGTAAACGTAAATTTTTTGCTTTATTTTGTAATTTTAAAATTTAATTATTAAGAAAACTCTGTACCTGCTACAAAAAAGGCTTACAACATTTCTCCGTTTTTCTTAATTTAATTTGAATACTTAATTAAATTTAAAATTTATTATATTTAAAATGTTTAAAACATTCCCGCCAATAAAACGTCAACACTTTTCCCTTTTTCCTGGTCGCCTGCCTTTGCTGATTGCACATCTGGATGATAAGACTGAGAATGAAGGACTAAGAACTAAAAACGAAGGGACGTCAGTCCAGAAGCGTTCCAAAAAATGTGTTAAGAGTCTAAACACGAACGTGCCGCTCAAAGGCCACTCGTTAACGGAAGCCGAGATGCCGAGATTCGAGTTGACTCAGCATAGACAGGCGGCTATTGGTAAATATTTGCACCATTTGCGACTAAAAAAATTCAGAAGGCCACTGGCATAGCCCCTGAAACTAGCCTCTTAAAGAGCGCCATACAATATATGTATTTTTTCAGGTAGCATCGGAAAAATTCTCTGCCCATCGTCTCTAAGATGCAAGTGGATACATACACACATTATAACTGTTATATGGCAGCTATAGGATATAGTCGGCCGATCCCGGGCGTTTCGACTTGTTTACTGCGTGCAAAGGAAAGAAGGGTATCTGCAAAGTTTAAGTCAATAGCTTTTAAACTGAGAGACTAGTTTGCGTAGAAACAGACAGACGGACAGATAGACAGACGGACATGCTCATATCAACTCAGGAGGTGATCCTGATCAAGAATATATGTACTATGAATTTTATGAATTATATATATTTAATATATATATATATGAATTATAATATATGAATTATAGGGTAGGAGATGTC